TCCTTCTTTTCATTAAACTAGACCAGTGTTTTTCAACCACTGTGCCGCGGCACACTAGTGTGCCGTGACATAGTGTAAGGTGTGCCGTGGGAAAATTACTTTATATATAGTCAATATAGGCACAGAGTTAATTTTTTTTAACATTTTCTAATGGTGGTGTGCCTCGTGATTTTTTTCATGAAAAAAGTGTGCCTTTGCGCAAAAAAGGTTGAAAAACACTGAACTAGACATACCCATTTCTTGCAACCGTTCTTTGTTTTAGTCTCCAGTCCCCTAATCATCTTTGTTGCTCTTCTCTGCACTCTTTCTAGAGTCTCCACATCTTTTCTACATTGTGGCGACTAAAACTGAATGCAGTATTCCAAGCGTGGTCTTACCAAGGCATTATAAAGTGGTATTAACACTTCACGTGATCTTGATTCTATCCCTCTGTTTATGTAGGTTAGAACTGTGTTGGCTTTTTTGGCAGCTGCTGCACACTGCTGGCTCACATTTAAATGGTTTTCCACTAGGACTCCAAGATCCCTCTCACAGTTACTACTGTTGAGGAAGGTACCACCTATACTGTACCTGTGCATTTCGTTTTTCTTGCCTAAATGTAAAACTGTACTCTTTTCACCATTGAATTTCATTTTGTTACATAGTGCCCAATGTTCAAGTTTGTCAAGATCCTTTTGTATCTTAAGTCTGTCTTCTGGAGTGTTGGCTATTCCTGCCAGTTTGGTGTCATCTGCAATACACTTTCTTTTTTATTTCCCATTTTTAAAAAAATTCAGAGTGATTGCTAAAATTAGCAAGTTCAAAACCTCTTGCTCTTACTACAAAATTGACCTTATTAATTTTAAGCCATAGTTTCTACTCCTTCTCATCCCTCCTACCTAACAAACAGGAATTTGGCAATAGCTGTTTAAAGCACTGTGAATATTAAATTAGTACAGCAGAACAAATTTGTGAGAAAGGCACATCTGCGCTCAAATTTAATTCAAGCATTGTCTAGAAGGAGGTTGTGTAAGAAGATTCTCTTTGCAACACCCAATAGATGCCTTATTTTAACCAAATTATAATTTAGGAGCTGATACTGTAACGCAAACCACCATCGTTTAGCCGGAATCAACTTCAGTTAAAAGAATGATTGTTAAACTCACGTACTTACAGTCATATGAATTCTTAGTAAATAAAAATGGCATATGGCTCAGTTGAAAGAGTGAATTTCCAGATTATCCCCTATAAAGGCTACATACTGCCTTACTAAGCAGGATAATAAGGTTCTGCTCTGAGATCCGTTTCCTATAAACTAAGAGGGCTGATGGTGGACCATAAAGTGCATTTTTCAAGATGTAGATCCGTGATGGCGAACCTATAGCACAAGTGCCACAGGTGGCACAAGGAGCACTCTCTGAGGGCACGCAAGCCGTCACCCAACTCAGCTCCACTGTGCATGCGCACGCACCTCCCGCCAGCCAGCTGATTTTCTAGTGACTGCCGTGCATGTAGGAGACACATGCGCATGCATGAGGGTCGCATGCGCATCTGCAGGGGAGTGCAATGCGCACCCCCGTGGCCCATTTATAATCCCAGGAGAATTAAGGGAGGCCTGCTAGGCCCAAAACAGCATGTGGGCAGTGGGGGTCGTGTGCATGTGCAGGGGAGCATGGTGGTGGTCACGTGTGGGGGGTGGGGAGAGCAAGCGGGGTTGTGCACGCATGCACAGGGGGGCAAGGTGCATTGCATTATGTGTGTGGGCATGCACGTGTGCAATATCAAGCACGCACACACAATTTCAGCATGCAAGGAGAAAAAGGTTAGCCATCACTGCCCTATGTTGTGGAATACATTGCTACTGGAGGTATACTTGGCCCACTCCTCTTGATGGTTTGGAAAACATGCTAACCCCCCTCCCCACTTTTTTTTCCCCAGTAGACTTTTCACCAGGAATGAGGAACTGTAGGCAACCATCCAAGGCTATGGTATTATTTTAATGTAGATTGAGAATTAAAAAGTGTTCAATTCGGTTTTATATTTTTCCCAGAGTCTGTGGATTGAGATAATATGCCAATATGTGAAGTAAATAAAGAAATAAAAGGGGCAATGAGAACTGTGAAAGTGGTTTCATTTTTCACAAAACCTCTGAAATCTACTGACTGAAGCCAAATGCCAAAATAGAAGATATCCATAAAAGAAAATATACACCATGTAGCACTGGGATGAACTGTGATGTCCTTGGTTATTTCCTTGCAGACTTTTAATTACCTGATAAGGTAACATTATCAGTCCTGATGAACATCTTAGAAAGCAGACAATGTAACTATTGCTTTTGCCATACCATTTTCTCCCTTCTTTACACCCCCCGGGCTACAATGTGTAATCTTACTTTATTCTATCTTTCCACATCTGATAACTAAAGTTTACAGAGACATGTTACAATCAATCTAATAAATAAATAGGTTCTAAAGATATCAGGACCCTTTCTTAGTTAACATAACAATGTTAGAATGATTGGCTTATCAACAGTTGCTGCTCCGAATGGCAATTTTGTTGAGATTATTTGCATTTACTGAAAATGGTTACCAATCCTACTTCATGCCTGCAGTTTATTCCATTTCCCCCCCTCATTCTGCTTATTTGCTTTCTGGGGTGGGAGAAGTATTATTGCACTTCGTTCTCACATGAGTCATTTATTTATTTAAGGGAATTTACGGAAAAGTACAGCCTGATAGAAAAAAAAAGATAAATCGTGATTGTACAATGAAACAAACCCAACTCTTGATATGCTATGGTAATTAAAATAAACTAAATGTTTATTTAGTTTAAAAACTTAGTTGAATGTAGGGGGGAATGGAAGAAAAAATCCATGTGGTATCTTTTGGTATTAGTGTAAATTATTTTAATCCTTAAATTTGTTATTGAAACTAGATCATTTGGAAATATACTTTTTCATCTCATTTTTAAAACAATGATTTTTTTCATAAAAGTTTCCCACAAATTGATTAGTTTGAAAGTTTTGACCGCCACAGCTGTCCTGTCTTAGGCCTAAAGAGTAGCTGGGTGACTTTGGGCCGATCATTCTCTCTCAGCCTAACCTACCTCATGAGGTTGGTGTTGTGGGGAAAATACGAAAAGGAAGTAATATTGTGTCTGTTCACTGCCTTGAATTATTTGTAAAAATAATCCATCTCTGCTCTCTTTGAAACCAGTATGAGAAAACTAACTCAGTCAATTCCTACAGTAATTATAAGCCTTGTTTGAACCTAAACTAAGGGTTTATTTTCAAGGAAATCAAGGGATTACTTGGATTCATCTCAAAAATAATATTTTACCTTAGCCCACCTAATGGCTGTCACCAGAAACACACTTCGTATCAGAGCAAGTTTCCTGGTATAAGACTGAGAAAATTGCTGCAATGGTCAAAGTATTTTAAAGATTTTGGAAAGCCCAGAAGTAGCATATTAGTTTGAATGTTTCCTTGCATGCTACATCAATGTGTTTTATTTACTTCATTGTGAATATTTGGAGAAATCTTGGAAAAAATAATCAAGCAATGAGTTGGCAAACACTTAGAAAGGAGATGATAAAAGGCAGCATAGATTTTTTTTAAAAATAGATTATGGCAGACAAATATTTCTATCTAGTTAGTTTTTGAAAAAGTGACTAGATCAGTAAACCAAAGAAATAGTATAGTAATTGTACACTTAAGACTTCAGAAGATCTTACAATGATGTTGACCACAACTTCCTTCTTGATAAAACAGAATGATTTGGGAAGGATGGTTCCACTACCAGATGAATTCATAGTTGGTTGAACAATCATATACAATAAACAAATCTATATGTACATGAAGAAAGGTACCATATTTTTCAGAATATAAGATGCACCAGAGTATAAGATGCACCAAGGTTTTGAAGAGGCAATTTTTTAAAAAAAAGTTTTTGCACTCCGCAGACCTCCCAAAAATGGCCGGTTTTCGCAAAAACAGGCCCTTTTTGTTTTTCAAAAAAGGGCATGAAGAGCTTTTAGGGGGCTTGTAGAGTGCTCCTGGGGGTGCCCCCCCAAATGAGCAAAAAAGTGGCCTGTTTTTTTGCAAAAACGGGCCCTTTTGTAAAAAAAAAAAAAAGAGGCAATCATAGCCTTTAGGAGGCTTATAGCGTGCGACTGGGGGGGAGTAGGGGCAAAATTGAACAGAAAACAGGCTCTGCAAGGTTCCTAAAGGCTCTGCCCATCCATTTCAGTGAAGTGGGCGGGGTCTCGACATGCAAAAGAAAATGCTATATTCAATGTATAAAACGCATCCAGATTTTCAGCCTCTTTTTTGAGGGAAAAAGGTGTATCTTATACTCCGAAAAATACTGTATATGGTGGGGTTACCAGGGTTCTGGCTTGGATTCAGGGCTTTTCAGTTATTCATACCTGACCTAGACAAGAGTATAGAAGGGGTGTTTGTCAAATTTGCAAATGACACAAAATAGCAGGGGATGAGAATTGCTAACACTTCAAAAGACAGCTCCAGTTTTCAAAATCTTTATATAGATTTCAAAATCTTATAGAAGGGAAAGAGTGCAAAGAACAGCTACAAAGAGGGCAGGAGGCCTGGAGGCTATGAAGAATGGTGAAAAGAATTGGTTATTGTTTGGCATAATGGGAAAAATAATAATAAGGGGACACTTGATAGCAGTTTTTCAATACATAAAGGACTGTGACAGGGAAGAGGATGTGGATTTATTCACCACAGTACTCAAGAATTGATCAAGAAACAATGCATGGAAGATAAACCAAGGGAAATTCAAAGCTAAAATAAGGAAGAATTTCGTAACTGTGAAGTCTGTTGTGGAACCACCTGCCTCCTGGAGTTGTGGGTTTTCCAACACTGGAAGTTTTCAAGGAAAGTCTGGGCAGTAATTTGTCTAAGACAGAGGCCTTCAAACTTGGCAACTTTAAGACTTGTGGACTTCAACGCCAGATATGCTGGCTGGAGAATTCTGGGAGTTGAAGTCCACAAGTCTTAAAGTTGCCAAGTTTGGGGAGCCCTGGTTTAAGATGTCTGAGTATTCCTGCTCTGGGCAGAGGCTTGGACTTCCTTCCAATTTTAGGATTCTTGTTCTGTCACAAGTATAATGGCTCAGTAAATAGAAACATTGAAATATTTTTTGGGAAATCTATTTTAATGGATTAGTTTGATTGCCTCCAATGAAAAATATTGGGTCTGGTTATTTTGAACATTGGACTGTACTTTGGATAGGGATTCCTCTCTTGAAATGTGTGTGGCCCCAAACCTGCTGGTTTTTAGGCAGGCAACTAACTTTTGAATTGATTTTTCTTAACTCCTTGGAAGTCGCCCAGAATTATTGGCAAGTGGGCAGCCTCAGAAATTAATTACATAAGCAAACTTGTGCCAATGCCTCGCTTCAAAAGGGTTCTGACTATGGAGTACTCTCCTGCTAGGATGTGGAGAAAAGCTTTTGCTGTTTTTCTAAATAAATGTTTTTCCAGGAAGAAAACATTAATAGGGATATGGCGACATCCCTGGAAGGAGTGGAGACAGTTTTCCCATCTAGCGGCCTTCAGTAGGTTTGCTAAGTGGGTCTGGAGACATATCATACCTGTTACAGTTCTCATTTTGAAAGAAATCAGCCCATTGTCTCTTGGTGATTTCCTACTGAATTTCAGCAGCAGGAAGAAACGTGGCAGGTTTCCTGGGGGTTGCAGAAAAAATTATAGTAAGACCAGTGCGGCCTGGTGACAGTTGATTGCTCAACTTGGCCTAAAAGATTAAAGGCAAAACTGCAAACATTTTCAGTATTCATTGAGGAATGTATCTGTATTCTAAATTGCCATATTCCTGCTTTTGATAGCCTATTTCCTGGGTTCAGATATGCTTAACCTGGCTAACAGATGAGGACATTTTGCACACTTAGTAGAGTAATACATTTAACACTAGCCAAGCTTTTTATGTTTGTGTTGTGGCAATGAAAGCAACTGGAACTTTAACTGACCTTGTTAAGTGTCTGGATCTCATGACTTGCAACCATAATGGGCAGGAGGCATTACAGTTATAGGTGGAGAATTACCTGTATGGCCCAGAGGAAACTGGTTAACTTTATGCAAAATGGTACTTATTTGCATAAAAGACTTGAACTAGAGTGTCCCTATTTCAAATTTTGGGGTATTTCTTTCCCATTTATTTGGGCAAGGCACATACATTACATTGTCCTAATAAACTGCCTCTGCATTTCATTACAAAGCTGAAGGGGAAAACCCAGTGGCTACAAAATATAATTGGAAATGTAGAGTAGTCGGAAGCTGTGGGTTTTGAATGACCTCTAGTGGACAGTCTTAAAGTTGTATGGAGGAAATCCCCATTTTCCTGACAAGTCAGGGGTTTCCCTGATTGCAAATGGGAAGTTCCAGGCCGGCAGATTTAAAGGCAGCATTGGGAAATATAATATTCTGGACCACTCTTACTTCACCTGCTGTCCTCCATAGATCTTAGACCCCCAATTGATTATTTGATTAGATTTAAAGGCCACTTCACTACAATATATTAAAAAGGGGATACAATGTAAAGCAAAAGATACTGCACATACTTCTGGCAAAACAGATGCGAAAAGCTACCAACTAAACTCCACGTGGCCTAGGAGAACAGCAAGCTTTAAAGACTTCAGGAACACCGTCAAGGTAACAGCCACATGGGATACTATTTCAGAGCACAGGAATCATGGCTGCTTCTGGATAAGTGGTATTGTTTGACAGGACCTGAAATTAACGGAGTTTCGTATACTGTGCCTAGCTCCAAGGACATTTCAATAAATAACCAATTTTAAACCATTTTTTTTTCAGAAACTAATTCAGAATCCCCTTTATGCACTCTGCCCTTCCTTCAGAGAACCAGAGAAATATGTAGGACTGTCCCTTCCTTTTATTGGATCATCACAATGACCTAGTTCTAGATATGGCTAAATGATCTTATCTGACCCAAAACCATGTAATTAAATTCTATCAATTAGAATTGAAGTCTATCAATTAGAATTTAAGACTATTCTTTGATCTGGGTGATCATCCAATTCAAAATACCCCCTAATAGGAGCAATACGTGCCGTAGCCCAAATTATTTCATATGAGGTAACACTAGGACTAATCATTATTTCAATAATTCTGTAGCCCATAATGTCCAAGAAATGTGGATAGCCTAATCCATACTGAGGGCATCCTTGGGCCCTCACAGTATGGTTTCACAATATGAAACACACACACGGATCTTCAAGAATGCTAGTTCTCAGGTTCCCTTGAACCACAAAACTCAAAAAATCACTTCACATGTGGCATTAAATATACAATATAAAATGGCTTGTTTTGGCAAAGGTGTGTTTATAGATTCAACTCTATAGATGAAATAAACCACTGTCAATAACAAGGATAGACTGGAGTATTTTAACTGGGGGCTGCATTTTTTTATTTTATAGTCCTCGCTTAGCAACTACGATTGAGACTGGCAACATGATCACTAAGTGGGAACTGAAGCATGAGCTTACTTTCCCTTTAGTCGTTAAGTGATATAGTCACTAAGGGAAAAGTCATATGAACGTGACTTATGATTTTATTTCTACCTTTCAAACTGTACAATATTAACTGCTTTTCACAAGTGAAAATTGCCCAATTGTTGCAAAGCACATGAATAGCAATCATATGACCGAAGGATACTGCAGCTGTTATTAAATGTGAGGATTGGTCACAAAAGGATTTTTTTTTTTTAGCATTGTTATAACTTTGAATAGTTGCTGCATGAGACACTCAATAAGAGTGGAAAACTGTGGTTGTTTTTTGCCTTATAGGGTTGCAAAGGGTATGGAGGACAAAACTGAAGAGTTAAGGCATGTGCTTCATGAGTTTGTATTATCTTAAATTTATAAAAAAAAAACACAAATTACTCACATAGTTAAAATCCTAATTTTGTTGCCACTAGAATGTTTCAGTGACTCACTCTGGCTTTAGCACCCAGCATGTGACAGAAAATCAGCTATGGTGGAGTACTTGTGGGTGGGTACACACACACACACACACACACACACACACTATAAGTGATAAGTGAACTCAGTCAAGTATTCTTAAGAACTCCACTTCCTTTCTCTTAAGACAGGATCCTGGCTATTTTTCCGCCCACACACACCCTCTCCTAATTAACTACAAGGGAAAATTTCTCACACAGGAAACCAGTGAGATGCTTTATTTTCATGATCAGTTTATTTCTTCTGGGTATTTACCCCATACACCAGGTACTACATATGGCAACCCCCTCTTATTTTCACTGTAAAACTCTTCCCTCCCTAAGGAGAAACCATTCTCAGTTGTCTTACCACTATTGTTATGTGAATCATTGCAGTTAAGTTAATGATGCGGGGCACAGCTGCTTGCTGTTCACAAACGGGAAGGAGTGCAGTCTTTGGAGGACAAGTGTTTTGTTTTTTTTTTACTTCTCCCTCTTCCCACTCAGAAGGAAGGTGGGTGACTGACCTTCCCCCCTCCCCCCCAAAATCTGAAGCAATGGAAGAAAGATGACGACTGTTCGGGAAGGAGGAGAAAACAAAAGTGCTTAGTAGCTCACTTGACGCAATTCCTTTGGCAGGATCCCAGTCGAGCCATTGTAAGGCTTATGCTGAATCCAAAGACTCGCTATGGGGAAGCATGCCTGCTGGTGCTGCTGGGAGAGGTCTGCCTCTTCCCCAGTCCGTTCAAAAGGTCTATTCATGGACGTCCCAGATCTCAGACAGAAGTGGCGGAAGCTTCTTATCTTGAAGGCGCAAAGCAAAGACCTGCTCTGAGTGCACGCTGCTCAATGTCCGCAGGCTCACCAGCTTCATCAGCATGCGGGGGAACATCAGGTGGTCCTGTGGAAAAAAATGGAGGGCAAAAGAGGTCTGGTGACGCCTTTGGTCAGAATTGTGTTGTTTGAGATTCCAGGGCTGCAGAACGCTCAGAAAGCTGCCTTTAAATGTTACGTGTCTTGAGTGGAATACAAATTGATTAAATACATGGCAAACAGTCATATAAACTAACATTTAATGTTTACATACAGGTAGCCATTGGATTATGATAGCAGTTGGGAAACTAGGATTGCTGTCGCTAAGTGACAGTGGTTGTAAAGCACAATGTTACACAACCGCACAGGGCAATCCAAGCAGTCCCAGTTGCTGTTGTAACCTGGAGACACCCAGGGCATTAAGAAGGAAGCAGCAGCAGTCCCAGGTAAGGAATGAGGAGTGTCACGGGGGGATGACGGGGAGGCCCAGTACAGGTTGGGTATGAGTTGAGGAGGGAGGTCTTGTGGTCCAGAAGAAAGGTAAGGGGAAGAAGGGCCATGATGTGTCTGAGAGAAGGGAGGAAGATGGATACAGTGCTTGTGAGCAAACGGAAGGAGGAGAAGGACATTGTGTGCGTGCAGGTGGAGAATGCAGTGAGAGAGAAGAAAAGATTTTGAGCTGGATTTTGGTCACAAGTCAAGGAATACCTGTACCTGTAAATTGAAAGTGGTTTGTTTTTTTTACTTAATCCTGCCCATCTATCTGAAAATAGTATGTACATAGACTATGTACATACAATTCATATAGATTATTATCTATGAAAGATACATTATTTACTAAGAAGGAAGGAAGGAAAAAAGGACCCGGAAGAATTGGGAAAAGGGGAGGAAGGAGCCGTTGGCCTACTCAGGCTCTTAACACGCAGTACCTAGTGAAAGCAGGACAGAATTGCACAATCCAAAAATGTTTCAGGAAGAAACTTGTCTCCACACCCTACCATTCCCAGTCTAGCTATAGGAAACTGTTAGTAGGACTGAAGGCAATATTTCTAAAGATTTCCATCTTTGTGGTTGCAGGGTAGTGACATCCCTGGATAAAGAAAGAAAGCCTTTTTTTCTGTTCGATAAGAGTGGGGTTTGATGAAGTTTTCAATTTCAGAGCTGAAATAAATCTATTGGAGACCTACCACACTTATTTTTTTTATTATTTTAAATTATAAGAAAACCATGCCAAAAATGCAGACACCTTGCCACTGATTTTTGGCATTGCAATATTGGGAAATTCTTGGCAAAAAAAGAATCTCAAGGCTGAAAAAGGGCCTTTTTCCCTCTCTAAACCCAGCATGTTCAATACATTTTGTTATGCTTTAAGAAGTAGTGGTTCTAATCTAGTGTACAGTGTACAGTTCCAGTCAACTTTGAAGGAATATGCTTAGAACTGTACTCTTACTTGCACTCTTAATATTAAAGGCTAATCTGAAGCAAACTTCCTTCGAGATTCAGAAAATTTATCCTTATGGTTTTGTGTTTTCAGTTCAGGGATTGTTCCACCCTACTGGAACAGAAACCATCCCTCTCTCCCTTGCAAACAAAGAATTAGCACTTCCTCTGTTAATCAACTAAAGTGAAAAGGAAAATGTCTATGCAATACAGCCTTCTAGAGACTGAACTCTTATCATTCGTGCTTAGCATAAAAATAGTCAGTGGAGATGACAGGTGTAGTTCAGTGGGTGGAACAGGCTACTAATTTCCCAATCCTGTCCTAAGATTTATCAGGGACACCCAAAGTTATGTTGGCTTAAACCAGCTGTGGTGTTTGCAACCTAGTAAAATGTGCTAAACCATAAGTTTTGTCTTGGACCTTAGGCCAGGAGGAATATTATTTTTATCACTTTTCCTCCACCCAATGATGATAATCTCTCCCCTTTGTTCTATGGTTTTCTCCCTCAGCATTCACCATCTCTCCAATCCAAATACCTGTGGACGATTGAGGTGGATGTAAGAACTAAGGGCCTCAATATAGGGCTGCTGCAAAGCCTCTACCAGGCCATGGTCCTGTACATTCGGCCTGTCAGCAGAGAAGATGTTGATCGCAATGAGGAGGGCATATTCGGCATCATCCAGCTGCAACTCTCGCATGGCCCGAGAAAACTCAAATATGGGGTTGATGAATTCTACCTGAAGACCTTGTTTTGGGGGCGAGAGGATTGGGGAGGGAGAGAAACAGAACATTAGGGAACAATAGATGTCATCTAACTTTCCATGCTCAGACCTCCAAGTGTATTTCTTGCTTGTTTGTGTTTTCTATCTTACCTCGCTTCAGCTATTTTGCACTACTCAAACTTATGAGTGCTTCAAAGTTTAAATGCCTAAGATAAATTAATAGTTTGGACTGTAGATAGATCTGAAGGTTGAAAAGACTCTCCAGAAGTTGGCAATAGCAAACTGTCATAAAGATGCATCCATAAAATTAAGAGCTAATTCATTATAAAGTAACTATATTTTAAAAACAGAAAACAACATGATACATTCATTAGACAGTGGTATAACCTGAGCATGGTTAGTGGCACAAAATAATGTGAAACCTTGGCAGACAAAATGCCTACCAGAATTTTCTTAAAAAGTTGGGCCGTAGCAAGTGAAATAGATTGACACAGATTTCCTAAAGAAATTCAATAATCAAAACAGCTACAAAATAAGTTTTCTCCTTAACTAACTTGTCTTGACTAGCAGTAAGGTACAATTCTTCAGCTGAATTCAGGATGCTGAAAGGTTACTAATAAATAATCAAAATATCAGCATTTTGAACTAGACTTAAAAAATTAACATACAGTACAACTAGAGCAACAAATGCTTACTAGAAAGTAACTCTGGTTATAGGCAAAAAGAAAATCAGTGAAGAACAAACACTTTTAAGCTCCTCCAATACAAGTTCCTCCAAGCTTTCTTCCAATATAGAAAAATAAATGATATAATGCGACATGTAAACAACTGTTCCTTAGCAGAGGAAGGAAGAAGGAAACTAAACTAGAGAGCCTGAACCAACACACCCTTTTCACTGCACAATAAAGATCCCAGAATCAACACTAGACACGCAGAAGATACAAAGGACAATCTGAATTGTTTCCAGATATTTAAGTCTTGCCTCATAGGTTCACCTCTGCAAAAGGATGATAAGAAACAAATGTAAACTCTTGTCAAATGTGATAGCTCAGTAATCTTTTCACCCTTTTCAATTTGAGATGTGAAACAAGAGATTGGGAGAAATCAACCAGAAATACATCACTGGTCTACCCTTGATTTATCTCTTATTAGTATCCTCAAATATATTTTTGAAAAATAGAATCTATCTGCACCTGGGTAAGAACTTTAAACAAAACACATGTCGTAAAAATACAAATTACATATTTCTAAACAAAATAGTGATTCTGCTTACATTGAGATTTACTCAAAATATATAGATTTGACTGCAAGAATCTTCTCGAATGGAGAATGAACCAATATTCACATATGCTGCATTCTCAATTTCTCCATTTTTTATCTAATGAGAGTCATAATGTGTCAAGAATCCAAATGCCAGAAATGTAACTGCTAAGATTTTGCTTTCTGTGTATATATGGGAATAGACTCTCTTCTTTAAACAGAGATAAACCATCCTGGACAATTTAGTAAAGCACATAAAACTAAAACCTCTCTGTGTGAAGTTTTATCAAATGTGAGATTTATGACTATTTATACCGTCAAGAGAATCTTCTCAAATCTGGTTCTTCTCGTATGTGTTTATATCACAATTCTCATCACTCACAGCCAGCTGATTCTTCTTAGGTGGGCCAGGAATTTTGGGGGGAAGTAGCCTCTACCATTTCATACCCATTTTTTATTTCCCCACCTCTTTCTGTCTGCAGATTTCTTCCCTGCACCATTTCATCATAATTCACTTTTCACTCACCTGCACGATGAAAGTCATCCTTGCTGTAAGTAAAATCTTTAAGAAATGTAATGCACTGAGTCTCATGATTATAGCGCCGGGCTGTCTCTAATAACATGATCTAAGAAGACAAGCAAGTGTTAAAGAACAGATATTACCTTTCTTTAAAAAACTATATAAAATGAAATAGGTTGATACTGTTTATGATATATACTTAAATAAGACAATACTGTTAAGTGCGGATAACCAATTAAGTAAAATGCTTGTTATATTAAAATGGAACTTGATGATATATGCTGCATATAGAAACTAGAAATAACAAATAGAAAATGAAATGATAAAGTTGGTATACTTCTTCCTGAAAGGGCAAAAAATGATTTTGTTTATTTTTAAGAAAAATTTAAACTCAAGATTGAAATAGAGGAAGAAAACGTGGGGCCGAAATTTAGAATGATAATGTGTTGTAAAATTAATTATGTATAAGAGATAATGTAAAAAAGGGGGGAAACCCGGACAACACTTTGTTTGTAAAGAGGTTTTAAAATTTGTAACAAAAAATAAAAAACTGCATATAGGAAAAAAAAAATATAACATTCATGGTGTGTGATTAGGTAGGTAACTTTATATGCCACTTATTATCTGGAAAGCTAAACTCTCCTTCCTTTTCTTTGCTTAAAAGAAATTATATCCTTTCCCATTCTGAGGCCCAAAAAAGCAGAAGCAACACACAATGCAGTACACATTGCAATACAGTAAAAGAAGTGTAACAGCAAGTATCGTAAGTAAATACCCGCTCTGTATTCATAGAAAACATTTTAAAGTACAGCCCAATTCTCACAGACAACAGCCTTTGTACCTGGACTATAAAATTGCAGATCTATGTTTTAAAATTCTATTTGAAATACCCTGAATAGAGAAATTATTGTTATTTCACTTTAGGGTCTGGAGGTAATGATCTTTGTGAGTATGTCTGTGTAATTTTTTTTTGGTGCATCATATATTGTTAATAATAGGATCATTTATAATAAAGGAATTCATTTGCCCAGCTGATCTAATATTGTGTCTATCAATGTTACTCAACCGTATCATCTTGAAGATATGGACTTCATCTCCCAAAATGGCTGACTGGGGAATTCTGGGAGTTGAAGTCTACACATCTTCAAACTGCAAAAAAAAAAAAAATGGAAAAACATGGTCTATAAGGTTATAAGGTTTATTGTATTTATATGCCGCCCTATTCCCGGAGGGACTCAGGGCGGCTAGCAAACCCAGGGGGGGAGGGGTAAACAAGAAGGAAATACAACAAACAGGTACAAGAGAATTTAAAAGGACAATCAACAGTCACACGATTCGAGAGGGGAAGGGAACTCGTCAACCCCAGGCCTGCTGGCACAGCCAGGTTTTAATGGCTTTGCGGAAAGCCTGCAGAGAGGTGAGGGTCCGAATCTCTGCGGGGAGTTCGTTCCAAAGGGCCGGAGCAGCCATAGAGAAGGCCCTCCTCCAGGTAGTAGCCAGATGACATTGGCCAGTAGATGGAACCCGGAGGAGGCCTAATCTGTGGGATCTAATGGGCCTTTGGGAGGTAATTGGCAGCAGGTGGTCTCTCAAGTACCCAGGCCCAATACCATGAAGGTCTATATCAATGATGGCAAAAATCCCTTTGGCGGAAAATCTTTTTCATCATTTGCTACCTGGTCCTCTTATATTGGAAATATTACTTATTAATTTTGTTTGTGCAAAACATGTGCTATGCCAGATTTCATGGGAGTAATTACTACAGGGTGTAGGATCTTTGGCTACACAGATATTTCCAGGACAACAGCCCTAGCCAATATAAGATCTTTAGCTCTTATAGCTATGGAGGCAAAAGAAAAGCTCCTTGCTCACCTCAATGGTAGAAGCCTTTAGCAGTGCGATTTGGTCTTCCCGTGAGAGCTGCAGGAAGCCGGGTACTTGCTTGGCAAAGTCTACGATCTCTTGCACTGAGATGATGGCTAATTCTGTAAAATGGGCAAAGCGCTGCTGGCGAGCCTCCCGGCTGTTGGGGTCACTGCTCATTGGCCAGGGCTGGGAAGTAATGGGAAAAATAAGAGATAAGGGACAAAATAAAAAAGGGAATGAGGTTGGTCCAGTACATTTTATGCCTTATCCAGATTAACAGAGTTGGAAGGGACCTTGGAGGACTTTTCTAGTCCGAGGAAACCCTGTATCAGCGATGGCAAGCCCTTTTTTGGCTCGCATGAAATAAGGGAGGGGGGGCAGGGGCGTCGTGTGCGGGCGTGCCGCAGCCATAATGCAATGCGTAACCCACCCACCCCAGTACGCATGAGAGGCGTTTCCCATTTTTCCATGCTTTTTTCGCCTTTCCCAGGCTCCAGAGGCTTTATAGGACCTGGGGAAGGCGAAAACAGCCCCCCCCCCCCGCAGGCCCTCCGGAGGCTTTAGGGACCTTCAGGAGGCTTCCCTGAAGCCTCCAAAGGGCAAAAAACGACCCTATGAGCAAACCGGAAGTCACTTCCAGTTTGCTCGTAGGATCGTTTTTAGTCCTCCGGAGGCTTCAGGGAAGCCTCCTTGTTAAGTTCAATGGGTGGCAATGACGGAGGCGAGACAATGACTCAAGTAACAAGGCTTTATTACACACAGCTAACACAACAGCAACTCCAGAACCAACAAGCATAGAACAGTTCCCGCTTGACAGCTATTTATAAGCCAGCTGTCCGCAGGGCAGCCAATCACTGCTCAGTAACTCTTTGAACCAACACCAGGCACGGGCATGGTTCCTGGCACAACCAGCACAGGGGCTCTGAGGTGATTTCTTCCTTGAGTGCCCTGCTCCGCCACCTGCTGTCTTGTGGCGGTTAATGCCAGCCTCATCGGTGTCGGACAAAGGATTTTCGTCCACCTCTCTCTGATGAATAGGCACAGTCTTAGTAGATGGTAATGCGGAGGGCGCTGCGGCTTGAAACCTCTCAATCTCAGCAGAGGACTCGTTGGACATTTCAGATGCACGAGCCTCGTCTAACGCCAATTGAAGGCTAAGCTCTGAACGGGCTAACAATCGGCGACAAAACCTCAAATCAGTCACACCGCACATGAATTGTTCAAGTAGGGATTCATCTAGATTAGGAAAGTCGCAGTGCAATGCCGCAGCCCTGAGGCCAGCCATATACTGGTTCACAGACTCCCCCCCACCCTTTCTGCAGCCTTTGTCGGAATGTATAGCGCCTAGCTATGCGCGATGGAGCAGGGGTGTAATGGTTTTGCAGTCTTGCCAGCAGGTCTCCCATGATAGAGATTGGACAGGTTGTGGCGCGGCCAAAGTCCTGGCTGTTCGAAACATTTTGTGCCCACAAGCATTCAGAAATTGGGCTCTCTTCCTCTCACTAGGCAAGTTAATCAGATTGTTTGCCTCGAGGAAGCACTTTAAACACTCAATGTAAGCCTCCCAGGACTCTGAGCCTGGCACAAATGGTGCAAAGTTGTTTGAATTAGCCATCCTGAAAAGAACGTTGTCTGAGGAGATTGCCTCAATGATTAGCTGAATAACCTCGTGTAAAAAAAAATCGTTCTTACATGACCTAGCTCTTCCTATGCCTCAACCGATCCCATCTTCGTCGCCAAATGTTAAGTTCGATGGGTGGCAATGACAGAGGCAAGACAGTGACTCAAGTAACAAGGCTTTATTACACACAGCTAACGCAACAGCAACTCCAGAACCAACAAGCATAGAACAGTTCCCACTTGACAGCTATTTATAAGCGAGCTGTCCGCGGGGCAACCAATCACTGCTCAGTAAGTCTCACGCTCTCGCTGCGCGCCTCGCGTGCCATAGGTTCGCCAACTCAGCCCTAAATCATTTCAGATAAATGGTTGTCCAATCTCTTTTTATAATCATGGACATTACAGTCCAACTTACCCAGAAAGCATTAGGATAAGAAAGCTGCTCTAGAAAGTCATTAAAACTATTGCCTGCCTTTGCCATAGGCCCTCGCCTTAGAACTAGTCAGGACTTAGGTCTCTCTCTCTCTCAACACACACACACACACACACACACACACACACACACACACGCTTACTGTGACTTTGGGCTGATCACTAAAGCTCCTCTTGTTACACTGCTGTTGGGCCGCCACCAACTGTTGGATCATGCCCTCCTGCTGTGGGGTAAGAGGAACCGGCTCAGGCTGAGATAAAGCAGGATCACAGAGCAATGGAGGTACTCGAAGTACTTCGCCTCCATCTCTCTCCCCAGCTGGAACCCCATCACTCTCGTGCTTAGAGATTTTCTTCTTGCGGATTTGCTCTTCTGAAAGGACACCTGGAGACAGAGAGGGAGTCTGGCATGAAATGGAAAGATCTCAAAAGTTCAACAGAGAATTCCAGATGCACTTACCGTGTTTCCCTGAAAATAAGACAAGAGCCTTATTTTCTTTTGACTCCCCAAATAAGCGCTTGGCCTTATGTTCGGGGAGGTCTTATTATTTTTGAGGTGCAGGAGGCAGTGAGTGTGGTCACCTCCTGGCTGCTGCTGTGTTGCAATATTTTTAGGGAGAGCTTATTTTTGGGGGAGGACTTATTTTAGCGCATGCACTCAAAAGCCCAATTGGGCTTATTATCTAAGTAGTTCTTATTTTCGGGGAAACAGGGTTGCATTTTAAAGAACCATCTTTCTCAACTGTGGGATGCACTGCCCAGAAAGATTTATTTTCTCCCTCATTATTGTTTTCCCTCAGAGTACAATCCAATCTATCTTATTGACTCAAAACTTTGCACTTTCAGCATTTTCTTTTCTTTTTGATGTTTGTAACTTGAGGGTTTTCTTCCTGATAAGGATCATTCGGCCTATCAAATGTGGGCAGTACTTCGACTCCCATCATTTCTCACTATTGGCTATTTTGGCTTAGTCTTCAGCGCCATCTAGTGGGCTACAGATTCCTCATTTCTGCACCAATGTTTGTCAGCTTTAAGGCACGTAGATTTTAATTTCCAGAATTCCCTAGCTAGGTTAGTGGATGAATTCTGGGAGTTGAAGTCAGCCCATCTTAAAGTTGCTCAGGTTGATAAACACTGTCCTAGAGCATTCAAGCTTTAAAAGGTCTGTGAAGCATTTAGAATTCTGGAAGTTAAATTGGCATAGGCAAAACATCTCCTTTCTGCCTTCTTTTCCAACCTTTTTATTCCATTATTATAATCCCTGCTAGTCTGCTCCTTCTCTGTTTTATTTTCCAAGACAGTTCAATCCCTTACAAGCTGAAACCACCCACTACTTATTTTTTTAAGAATTGTCCCTAGGACCCCTAGGACACCGGGGCCCAGCGCCACTCTTGGAAATCATGATGATGGAGGCAATGGATTTGCTCTGCACCAGGACAGTTCCCATTCCTAGCTGGGCCCTGATAAGTAACCTCAACTGGTTGTAGTGGCTAAGATCCCATTACTCACATTCTTCCCGCATGCCTGCTTGTCGGCATTTTTTCAACCGGCATTCCTGGCACTTCCGGCGCATGTACATGTCCATGTGGCACTGGCCACTGCCTTTGCAGGTATACTGAGCTCCTTTGATGAGGCTGCGCCGGAAGAAGCCCTTACAACCCTCACAACTCAGGACATTATAGTGAAAACCCGAGGCCTTGTCCCCACATACGCTGCAGACTTCGTCCCCCAACATCTTGGGGGCAGGTCCCTTTTTGCGTTTGCGGGCTGGCTCCTCAGCTGCAGAGGAAGAGACAGAAAACCAAAGATAATTATTTTAAGAGAAATAGGGGCGTCTCCCCCACCACCCCAACTTCTTAATTGCCAAGCGTTAATTTCAATGTTTTTAAAGTGCTCACATGCCTGGCTATTGTAAAAAGAGTGCATTGGGTTTATTCTTATCCCCTCTATCATCGTCAGTGGCCAATCATTTGGAAGCATTTAACAAAAATAAGCAACCAGGAGTCATAATGGAACATATAAGACTGATAGGGAAGGGATTGCATTTTATTGTGGTTAGTGTTAAGCAGTGATTTTCAAACTTGGCAACTTTAAGATGTGTGGACTTCAACTCCCAGAATTCCCTCGTCAGCATAGTTCCTTTAATATCCCATTAGACAGGCAAACTCAATCACTCCTCTTAACCATTTAACTCCTCTTTTTCAAGCAGTAGCTAGATACAAAGTCAGACTGTTCATGAAAACATGAACTTTTGCCATGGATCCTTTTATTTAGTTGCTTGGTACTAAACTAGACAATCTTTGAAAACACTTGTTCAGTTCTCCTAGGCTTTTATATCATGTTGCAAGTGTTTTGATGGTATTTAGTGGTTTGCGGCTTCCATATTCCTGTGAAAATATGTGGTTATTATCTGCTTCTTTCAGTTCCTGAAAGTCTTGAGTGCAATCTTTGTAGCAGCTCTGTATGTTGCCACATATGAATTATAATTTGTAATGAGGCAATAATGGCAAAGTTAGAAATTATAGTAACTGAACCAATTAAATAACCAATTTAATTAAGTATTAATCAAATTTCATTTTTGACAAAAAATTAATTTTGAGAATGATGCCTCAATGTGAAAAGAGTTTGTCCTTTTGTGCCACCCATACCAGTATAGTTGCTTAGTCATTTCCATTGGATGGAGGAACAACTGGTCAGGTCAGGCTACATAAGCACATTATCCCTAAAATAAAATAAAATTCACTGGAATCTGGCTTATTATTTCATACAAACTAGTCATTTTCTTCAAATTTTCATACTGAAAAACAACATGGAAACATTTAAAATGTAACAACACATGGACTTTTGCTCCAAATCCTTACTACACCTGTATGGGCAGTCCTCAATTTATGACTGGTCGCTTGGGAAATGTTTGAAGCTCCGACGGACCTTCCCCCGCCTAATCACATGGCCATACTTCAGATGCTCAGCAATCAGGTCACATTTAAAACTGTTTACAGTGTCTTGCACTCATGCGACCACATTTTATGTTTTTTGCCAAAAATTCTCATTTAATTTCAGTTTTCAGCAAAACCGGGCCCATGGTGAAACATTGCTTCGCTTAATGACTACGGCAATCACTTAAGGGTTGGTGCAAAAAAGGTTGTAAAATTAGGTCGGTCATGTGCGCGACCTGATTTATGATCATCACAAGTTAAAACTGTGATGGGCATGCTTATAACAGTCGTAATTCAGAACTACCCATAATAATAATTTCCTCAATAATATTCCTCTTTCTAATACACTTCAGATTGATGAATTGGTTATTTTGCTCACCAGTGCTGTGCGTAGAACTTTCGCCATCATCTGTGCAAATTACTTCAATTTTCACTGTGTTCTGAGACTCTGCCTTTGCCACTGACCATTCATTTTTGATCTGTGAAGTGGGCTCCCCACAGTCTGTTTCTTTGAAGGAGAAGGAAGGAGAAGAAGGTGGAAGAAGAAGGAAGTGGAAGAAGGTGGTGGTGGTGGTGGTGGTGGAGACGAGGAGGAGAAGAAGAAGATGATTATTAAACTCTGAAAAGCTTATCTTACTTGTTCAGCAATGGGCCATCAGGTAGATTTTATTAAGCTTACCTTGTGATAACTGAGGTTCATCGGTGCCTGTTTTGGCCATCTCAGGGCATGAGCCACAGCAGCATTATATAGCTGGCTTTGGAATCAGACGACAAAACAGTTCTGTGGAGCTCAACTTCCTCAGTCCTCTTTCATTTCCTCGGGAAAGACAAAAATCCTACCATTCTGTCTTGTCCTGGGAGAAGTACTTTACCTCAAAAGTTATGCTCTCCTGCCTGATAGGAAAAAGAGTCCATATGCACCCAGGTGCACTCTCAACCAATTCTCCCAACAACATAGGGAAACTATTGTCACGTGGATCAAAAATAACTACTTTCTGAAACAGAATTAAAAAGACAAGCCAGATTTACTGAGGACAGATCATCAAGCTTTTATCCATGATGGCTCCATGGAATATCCATATTTGGAGAAGCACATCAGCAGATTCTAGATGCTGGCAGTAATAGTATAAATAAGTTGTTTCTTCATACTCTGCTTGTGATAAGGCCCTTTTAGAAATACATTACTAGATTGCCTTTGCTCTTAATTTAGCACGTCTTCTTCAACACCAATGATGAGGAAACTGTGTACTTTCAACTAAAAACCTCAGCAAGTAAGCAAATCACAAGCAAGGAATGTTTGCCTTTCCCACTGAATAGGAAACAAATGATGTAGAGATGGGGGCGGCGGAGAGGGATGGTGAATATCAAACAGAAAAAGGGGAGAGAGAAAAAACTTCCACCTACATGTAACTCTTACTAAGTTGAGTAAGATTCACAAGATATAACTATTAATAGACTTTTCCCCACAAATACACAAAAATGAAAAAGTTCCCTATCTTCATCCTATATCAACAGCTTCTTTTCCAAAACTGTTACTCACCCTCATATAGTTATTTGCTCTACATCAAACATTCCATGAAAACTTTATCCAAGGTCTGGAAGTTGTCCTTAAATTCTGTCCCACCTTTCTCTCCCCCCTCAATATGAAAAGATATTCAGCTAATATACAACCATATAGCAGGACTTATGGAGGTGGCACAGCAGCAGTTATTAGGAAGGAGGTACAGGTGACCAAATTACTGTCTGAAGGTAAAATGTAGCCTGAAAGAAGAAGAAAAAGAAGATATCAGCAAATTCCCTTATTGTACACCATAATATATGATTATGTGAAGGGCATAAGGCAGTTTGATTCACTAATACTTAGTTTTCAGAATGTTGATAAGGGTTTCCTCTTATATGTTCAGCAGTATTAAAATAAAAAATGAGTAATCTGTGACTCAGAGCCACATACAGAACCTAAAACCATTTTTTTTGGCAACCTCAGATCTCAATTATATTACTGAATTTTGTTTTCCTGCTCTTTCCTGAGATTTGAAACCCATAAAAAATATTATTAAAGTCTAAAAAAAGTTAAACAACATTTTTAACCGCTAAAAATAACAACAATCTTCTCATTCCAAAGTCCTCCCTGCAAAAAGCCAGAAAAAGAGTCCAGGGATAACTTAAGATGTTTAAAATTCTGGACAGCTGTCACAAAGAAATTTGAGAAAACGAGTTCACACAGAAAAAAAACATAAAAATCTTTGTATATCAAATTAATGTATTTATTATATTGTTACCCTATCTTTGTGACAAACACGAATGTAATCATACATCAACCAAATAAAACTTTTTTTTTAAAAAAAAAAAACAAATTACGATTCCTGTTGTAAATGCTCTTTTAAAAACTGAAATTTTCAGGGATTCCTTCTTTAAATCCAAAGGCAATTGAAACACAGGTATTCATAGCTACGATGCCCAGAATTCTCATCTTAACATACAATAGTCTCTGAATGAAAGCTGATGTAAAAGTTGTAATAGTTGTGTAACTTTCAAAAAAAGATGTGAAATTAAAATCGGAGACCTCCGGGTTTCTAACTTAGTCTATTTTGTAAAGGTTTTTCTTCTCCAATAACTTCTCAAAGCAAACTTCTAGGGAGGCCTGGCATTCCTCCAATCTAATGATCTGCCACTTATTGGAAACTGACGTCTCCTCCCACTTGCTAATTGCACTAGCAAACGGTAACTTTGGAAGGATTCGGTTTCACACCTCTTCGCTCGCTCCTGATCATCTCCCAAATTCAGTGCCAGGGTTTCAATTTCCCAAGTTCTCTGCTTCCCAACCTCCTCAACGAGTCGGAGGCGTAATCTGGGAATCTCCTCCCTGCTCAAAAGCTCCCAAACCTTTTCGACACCGTTCCAGCCGAGCTCAGAAAACCTTCCCTGACCACACGGGATTTACCCCCGAGAAAACCAATACGGGACGACGGAGTTAACGGGATGCAAGCAGCTGGGATCTCTACCCGTCCGCTCAACCAGGGAAGAGCGGGGGAAGTGCAGCTTTTACTTCCCAGATTTGTCCGAGAGGCTGCGACGTAAGGAACCGGGAGTCCAGCCACTATCATTCCCATCCTCGCCCGGGTGGGTATCAAAGCGCTTTCCCTCTGCCGCGTACAATACTTCGAGACCACTCTTTACCTTCTGCTCTCTCGGAGTCCCACCACTTGCCTAAGCCAGTGAAAACACTTCTTTCGCATACAGAAGCAAGGCGCTTCCGGGAACCCTGGGCAGGCGTCACTTCCTTTCCAACGTGGGAAACCACCCCTTTTCTGGAGGGCGCGTCGGCCTCTTCTTCGTCGGGTCTGCGTTTTGCACCGCACTGCTAGCGCGCTGTGTCGTGGGGGTTGCACAACACCGAGCGTGGGTGGACCCGGGAAGCAGACGAGCTCTTTGTGCTTCCAGGGGAAAAGGGGAAAGAAAAAAAAAGGAGTTGTGCAATTCAGACTCCATTTAGCCACATCACAAGATACTGATTTGGCAGCCGCGTTTATTATCCACTTTGCTGAGTGGCAAGTGCGTGGATTTCACATGAGATTCATGAAGCAGCTTCACTGGTGATAGTTCGCTCTTCAGCCACGGGGTGTACTTTTTTTTCCCCAGAATTTTTTTTTTTTTGTTCTCTTACCTAGCATTTTAAGTATACATTCACATAATTGTTATTTTTCTTTACATTTATCATTCTTATACATTTATTATTTCATTTAATAGGTTATAATATACAGTTTGGGTTGCTTTATTTACCATCCCTTCCTCCTGTTGTAACACCACCTTATTTTCCTTTTCTTTTCTCCCTCCTTTACTTCCTTCCTCCTATCCTTCCCCTTCCTTCTTCCCTTTCTCCTACTGCTACTCTTTCTCTTCCCCTTCTACCCTCTCTTCTCTTCCTTTCCCTTCCATCCTCCTCTCCTCACCTCTTTCTCCTTTCCAGCCACGGGGTGCATTTTTTTGTAGAGTCTCTAGATTGCATTTGCACAACTTCACACACAAGAGTAGTGCCATTAATTTGGTAACTTCTTATAAATTAAAGTTGTATAAGATGCTTTATAGATAGCATTTACCTGGATTGCTGGGTTAGCCAAAATATTCAAAAAATTCTAGCAAATGTTGGAAATGTGACCAGAAATCTGGCACATACCTGTGGTGGACTTGTGCTAAAGAAAGGGGGGGGAAGGGGGGGCAAAAATACACATGTGGCTAGAAAAGATATCAGGAAAACATGTAGAACTTAAATCTGAACTTTTTTTATTAGACATACTACCAGGAAACTTTGATAAATGAAGTGTACATTTAATATTGCATGTATCAACAGCAGCAAGGATTGTATTTGCGCAGCTTTGGGAAAATGAAGAAATATCACCAAATGAAGAGATAATTAAGTTATTGGACTGTGTAGAAATGGACAGATGTATATTGAAGATTAAACAGATAGAAGATACAGAATACTACCAAACGTGGAATTTATTTATCAATGGCTGGGAAAAAAAGGATAAAGATTAGGAATATAATTTGTATTGTTAAGCAAACAAAACAACCCAGGCAACATGATGTTTATTAAGCACTAATTAAATGTAATACTAGAGAATTAATACAACTTTATAAAAAAAGAGTAATGCCATTAATTAAAGTTTTGTCTTCCTAAGAAGCAAACTTTGGATGATCTATGGAACCCAAACATTCTGAAACCAAGTCAGATTGAATTTTTGGACTTCTTTTATTCTCTTGGATTGTTATACATTTATGCAATTACAATTACAGATTTTATGTGGTCTTAGATCAGAATTACATCAAACAACAACGGTCACAAAAATCCACATAATTTGATACATATATAGTGAGTCAGATCTGTCCTGGACTGGCAATCTTGTTATAGTACACCTTTATAGGTACAGAATGTCTAACTGCTAGCAGATAATTTACATATTCATCTGAATGCGCAGGGAACATTTTAATAAAGGAAAGAAGCTTCCTTTGTTTCAAATTAGAGTGCAATTCACAGTTTAATAGATAAGATCTCACTTGTCCCAGATGGGCATAAGCTTTGTAATATGGGTGTTTTATTAAATACACATTTTATAATTGTTCAGATTAATGTATATTATAATACCACTAAAAGGAATTTATGCAGCAGTTGCTAATGAGTACAGGTAGTCCTCGACTTACAACTATATAGAGTTACAAGGGCAAAGTTGTAACAAAGTTACAACTGCACTGAAAAATGTGACTTACAACCATTTTTCATACGACCTTTATAGAATCCCCATGATCATGTGATCAAAATACAGTTATTTGGCAATTGGTTCATATTTATGACTTGCTGTGTCCCAGGGTCACATGATCACCTTTTTGCAAGAAGTCAATGGAGAAGCAAGATTCACTTAAGAACTGGATTACTAACGTATCAACTGCAGTGATTGGCTTAATGACTATGGCAAAAAAAGATTGTAAAATGGGGCAAAATTCACTTAACAAATTTTGGGCTCAATTGTAGTCATAAGTCAAGGACTATCTGAAGTTTAAAATGTAATAAACAAATCAATAGCCTTAAACAGGACAAGATTTTTGTTAACCATTAAATATGAGCCAGCAGTGTGCAGCAGCTGCCAAAAAAGCCAACAAAGTTTAGGCTGCATAAACAGAGGGATAGAATCAAGATCACGTGAAGTGTTAATACCACTTTATAATGCCTTGGTAAGGCCACACTTGGAATACTGCATTCAGTTTTGGTCACCACGATGTAGAAAAGATGTGGAGACTCTAGAAAGAGTGCAGAGAAGAGCAACAAAGATGATTAGGGGACTGGAGACTAAAAGAAAGAACGGTTGCAAGAACTGGGTATGCCTAGTTTAATGAAAAGAAGGACTAGAGGAGACATGATAGCAGTATTCCAATATCTCAGGGGTTGCCACAAAGAAGAGGGAGTCAAACTATTCTCCAAAGCACTTGAGGGTAGAACAAGAAGCAATGGATGGAAACTAATCAAGGAGAGAAGCAACTTAGAGCTGAGGAGAAATTTCCTGACAGTAAGAATAATTAATCAATGGAACAACTTGCCTCCAGAAGTTGTGAATATTCCAACACCGGAAGTTTTCAAGAAGTTTGATAACCATTTGTCTGAAATGGTATAAGGTTTCCTGCCTAGGCAGGGGGTTGGATTAGACTCCAAGGTCCCTTCCAATTCTGCTATTGTATTGTATTGTTGATGTCTGTGGAGATTCTCAATCTTTCAGGTCGTGATTGTCCCACAGGTGCTTTTCAAAAGGCAACTGCACTCCCTGCACCCTGAAAATGTTTTATTTCTCATCCAAGAAGCTTCTCAGTGCAATGATTTGCCTCTGAAATTTGTGGGTGCTCCACCACTGGGTATTTTAAAGAAGAAATGGACAACCATTTATCTGAAATGGTATAGGGTTTCCCGTGACCCGTCAAAACTGCGGTAGACAAAACCGCGCTCAACGAAAGCGCGTACCTGACGTCATCAGCAGCGCGATGAAA